TAAGATGATCGCGGGGATGAGGGGTCAGTCATATAGGGAGAGGTTAGAATCCCTAGGGCTTTTCTCCATGGGGAGGAGACACCTGAGAGGCGACATTATTGAGATCTTCAAAATAATGAAGGGGCTGACTGGGGTAGAGGCCGACAGCCTGTTTACCCGAGCACCGCTCGAGTCAACAAGGGGGCATCATTTGAAGCTAATAAAGCCCAGAAGCCAACTCAACCTTAGACACAACTTCTTCACAAGTAGAGTGATAGGTGGGTAGAACCAACTACTATCTTCACTACTAGACTGCAGGACGGCCGAGGAGTCCAAAAAACAATTAGATGGATCTGGATCAGCCTTTATCTCGAGATTTGATAGAGTGCCTACTATTGAGCGTAGCTGTCCCATGCTGCCTTCTCTCGAATAACCTCCCATTTCAGATACAGACCCCATAGGGGAGGCTGTTCCGAACGAAGAAATCGGCTGTGGTCAAACGATTTAAAAGAAGTCGAAGCTCCGGAAAAACGTGGTTCCGGCTGGAGCAAGTATCTGGACGCTCGGTTGGCGAAAGCTTTTATCGTCCGCTGCCACCCGACCTGACCTGACCTGAAGCGCCACTGGAGTGCTACTACAGGGCGTTATAAAATAGTCTTTGATGAACCCCGAGTCAGGAAAATAAATGGAATACCGTCAACTTACATGACGAGAAGATAGCGTTTTGGGGCTGAGCAAATGAAACTGACCAGGGCACCACGGATCTTAGCAAACCCGAGTAACTGAAGACATCTTGGGGCATCGTACGTTTGTAAACGAGACCCAAATGGAATCAAATAATGCCGCAACCGGCGTTTCCAAGCTCCCCGGGCTGGAGGAAACGGTGATCGCAGTAGCAGCTGGCACCATAGATCAGCCAAAATACGGGCTGCCTACCCGGGTGTTACGCCCGATGAAAAAATCCGAGGGAACAAACACCACTCGTTAGGGGATAGAAAACGATTGGTACTATTGCACGCCCATGCAGTATTAGGAATAAGTGGGGAGAGCTGGCAAAGGTGGCTGCGGGAACAAAGGCTGAAGTGATTGTCCTGTCTGAAACATGGCTAACGCAGGAATACCACATACCCGAACCAGTTTTAAGCCATTTCACAGTCCACAAACAGGACAGGAAATGGGGTACTCTGTGGGGGGGGCTGTAGCAGTTCTAGTCAGACAGAATATACCCCATCATGAAGATAAAATAACGCAGCGCACCCGGAATGTTCAGGTATGCTCAATTTCGTTGGTTCTACCTTCAACGAGGGTTAAGATATCAGGAGTCTACGTAAACCCGGAGTGCACACCCGAGGAGGACCAGGCACTCCTATACACCCTAGACAGCTAATATAGACACACAAGGAGTTTGTATATTGGGAGATTTCAATTTCCCAAAAGTCGATTGGGAGGTTGAGCGGGCACCAACAGGAACAGCGGAGAGCGCATTCTCAGAATGGATGCACTCAAGGGCCCTATAGCAACATGTCCGGGAGTGCACTAGGTACAGAGATGGAGATAGGCCATCTCTACTGGACCTACCAGTTACAACGAGGGAGAGGAGTGTGACAAACATCACCCTCCATCCGGCGACCACGTCGTTCTCATCACAGTAATAAGTCTCATGCATCGTAGGAGTATTGTTAGGATGTCCAGGAACTACTGGACGATAGATGCGACGAAGCTGAAGGCCCGATTTGCGGAGCTGGTGTGGGCCCCTATCAACGAAAACAACTCTGTAGACCAGCATTGGGGCCAGATTAAGGCAAATATCTTGCTTCTGCAGGATGAATTCACTCCCCTAAAACCCAGGGCATCGAAGAACAAACCACCTTGGTGGAGCTCAGCGGTTAGAAGAGCGATACAGCGTAAAAATAGGAGCTGGCACACGTATAGATCAACGTTCAGCCACCGATCCGGGGCGCAGTACACCAGGGATAGAAACAAAGCA